GAGATGATGCGATGAGATGATGTAGATGAGATGATGATGAGGAGATGATGCTGAGGAGATGATGTGATGAGATGATGTGGATGAGATGATGGTGATGAGATGATGGTTTGATTCCTGTTGGGTGGGCCTGACCCTGCCTGTGGGTTCTGCTCGCTAGATTCACAGCTGAGTCACTGCCTCCATTGCTTCGCACAGGCCTTGAAAGGAAACGTAAGAAAAACCCAACCCCCTATTGACATATGAGAAACTTAACCCCCTGTTCACGCAGCATCTGTGTCTGAGAGTTAAGGTGGTGTGAGCGGTGCCCTGTCTGCCAGGTTGGAAGTCCCCCCATCAGTAGACGAGCCTCAGAAACACCCACGTCGCGTGCACAGCTTCCCAGGAACTCGGGGCCATAGAATAACGGGGTCCCAGCGAAGGCGGCTCCTGCCTGGGAGGGGGCAGGCGGGGGGGAGGGTTTCCCAGGCCAGCACCCACGGGCCTTGCTGTTTAGACAGGAAAACTGGTCTGTTCAGTTAAAAAGTTAATTGATTTTTTACGTTTAAACACGTGAGTATAATCGAGTTTTCTGGGGTTGCGTTTTTATTTATTTTTTTGATATTCAGTATTATCACTAGAGGCTGATCGGGGCCAGCGCACATCATAGCGAGCGGTCAAACTCCTAGTCAGTCGAACTCCAGAGGGGACGATTTGCATATTCGCCTTTTATTACATAGGATTTACATTAGGTCAGGTGTACAGCATGGCAGTTAGACAAGCATATGCTTTACAAATTGTTCCCCTGATATTTCCAGTTCCCACCTGGCACCACACACAGTCGTTACAGTATTACTGACCCCCGAAGCTAACACAGCGCAGGCTGTGCCGTGTGCTTTAGTCCCCCCCCCCCTCTCCCGCCCACGGTAGACCTACTGTGGGAACAATCGGCTGGGAGCCCATGTGTAAGCTTCATGAGTGTTTCGTTTCAGTCCCCGACACTGACATGGACCGTCCCTCCCCCTCCCGCCCACCTCAGCCCCAGCCACCTGCAGCCTCACCCCCTCCAGACGCCATTGTCCTCGACTCTAAGTGCGAAGTTGCTTTTTACTTATAAAATCTCTTAGGACGTGTGTCACTGTCACCCCTGAGACAAGCGGTTTTATCTTCATTTCACGGAGAGCGTCACGGAGGGGAAATCACCCCCCGGAGAATTCAGTGTTCAGTCTGTTTCAAAGCCCAAATGTTATCTGCGGAACCAAGAGCTAAACCTCTTATGCAAGGAAACATACACACACTTAATACTTCATATACTTTTTATGGAATTGCTTTATTTTATAGTAATTTACCCAAATGCTCCTATAAGTATCAGTTACAGCCTCTCTAAGATAGGTATTAGTTAACGTGTTAAAAATAGGACAAGCCCGGCCAGCATGGCTCAGTGGTTGAGCGTCAACCTATGAACCAGGAGGTCACGGTTCAATTCCCGGTCAGGGCACATGCCCAGGCTGCGGCTCCATCCCCAGCGTGGGGTGGGCAGGAGGCAGCCGATCCATGGTTCTCTCTCCCTTTCCCTTCCTCTCTGAAATCAGTAAAAAATATATTTAAAAATAGAGCAAAACGAATCAAAGTCTTGGGAATTCATATTATACCTTCTTTATATTTTTAATTTAGAACAGAAACTAATTGGCAGGAAGCCAGTGCTTGGACAGTGGTGTGCATGTGGGCGTGAATGCCAATAAAACGCGTGAACACGAAATAAAACATAATGAAAATCACTGTTTCCCCGTGGAAATGACTTTATTTCCTGTGAACCGGCATTTTCCAGGACGAGACAGCCACACCTGGGGAGTGGGCGGGGGATGACCAGGCAGGAGCCGGAGTGGACGGTCCCTAACCGTGACCGCCGCGAGGGTGTCTTGTCCTCCTTCCTACACGTGTCTCTGGTCCTGAGGCTCCGCCCAGGCGCTGCCAGGCCCCGGAGCACCAGCCGCGTGCCAGCGTGCGCCCAGCTTCCTCGGAAGAGAAGGCGCTGGGGGCCCCACTGCAAACCCAGGGACACCCTGCTCGCAGCCATGACCAGCCGTGGGGGAGGGTGACCCAGCTCCGTCCCGTTCTCTGAGATGCGCCCTCAGCGGCTAGGAACCGAGTTCCGCAGTTGACAGGACTTAACAGCAAGACCATGATCTGGGAGGAGGTGCTGGAGTCAGCGGCCAAGCCCAGGGCTCCTCTTCCCGGGAAGGTGGGTGGGAAGAGTGACAGTGAGGCCACCCCAGAAAGGAGGCCCCTGTCCGTGGGCGCTCCCCCGGGGCGGGCTCAGAGGCAAGGACACGGCCCCAGGTCTGCCTGGGCGTGGACAGACCAGAGGGAAAGCGCGGGGGTCAGGGTCCTGGCGCTGGAGGGAGCATCAGCGGTGAATGCGGCCAGGCTCCTAAGACGGAAGTAACTCAATGGAAGAGTCAAGAGGCCCCTACACAGTAACCTTCTCCAGCAGCTGCCGCCGCGGATGCAACACGCACAGCAGCAGCTCAGGCCCTGCAGCCGCTTCGCAGGTACCGCAGCGGCGGGAAGGTGCTGGGCAGATGGCCCAGTGGAGGGAAGGTGCAGGGCAGGTGGCTCAGCGGCCGGATGTTTCTGGAAACACAGCTCAGCGGCGGGCAGCTCGCGGGCCTGAGCCTGGGGCAGGGACCGTCTCTCAGGACGCAGTTTTGGGACTGGCGGCCGCTGGCCACGCAGCGGGAGGGGGCAAAGCCGGGTACGGGGCCAGGGTTTCCGCAGCTTCTGCCCCAGGGACCGCCCCGTCTGCAGGGGTGCAGGGGCGGGGCGCTCCTGGGGAAGCAGGGCAGGCGCGCAAGGCGGTGGGGAGCCAATGCTCAGGGTCCGGCCGGCTGCAGTGGTGCGTGGGCTGCGCGTGGGGCCGTGGAGCGCGCGCCCCAGGGTCCAGGTGCATGGGTGGCAGCTGGGGCGGCGGCCGGGGCAGGGTCCTGGTCCTGGTCCCGTGTTGGGGGTCCCCCGGGCACCACAGGCCGCGCCCCATGCGGGAGCGAGACAGCGGCCGGGTGTGCAGCAGGTCCGGGGGTCCCAGCTCATGGTGCGGGCGCTGGGCTCGCAGCTCCACGCGTGTCCGTGGCCTCTCTCGCCGTCATCCAGGAGCCAGAGGGTCCCTTGGTGGCAGCTGGGTAGGCAGAGCCCAAAGGCAGGGCTGGCGTCACCCGAGCAAACGGCAGCCGAGGGCGCCCCCGGGTCACAGCAGTGGGGTGCGCAGGGGGGGCCCAGGAGACACAGGGAGCCCGGGTGCATGTCCGCTCTGCAGGGTGGCGGGGCGGCGGGGTGGCCGGGCTCCTTATATGTCCCCCGTGACCGAGGCGCCTCTCCACTCTTCCTCCTTCTCCCGGGACAAGCGCGGCAACATCTCATTAGTGTGGTGGCTACGGCGCCCTGGTGTGGTGGCTACGGCGCCCTGGCCCCACACGCATGTAAACGGAGGTTTATTTTGACTCTTCAAAGTGTGATAATGGCCACCTGGCCGCCCACCTCACTCATCCCCGCAGGCGGCTGGGGCAGGGCTGGAATGCCATGGGCACAGGTGCCTGCAGCCGGGTAACACCAGTGCGTCCTGCTCCCCGGTTATTACAGGTTAACGAGGAGTCGCTGGGACCAGGAACCTGGGCTGCTGCCCTTTCCTGGGGGCTCGGGCCTGTGTCCTGAGTGAGGCCGGGGCCCTGGCGGCCAATCGCTGCTCAGGGGAGTGGGTGGGACACCAGCCACCAGGAGACAGACCGGCTTCCCCACCAGGAGTTACCCCTCAGGTGCAGGCCAGGCCTGGTGACCACGCCCTCTGACTGTCGGGGAATTCCACCTGTAAGGCCCCCAACACCCCCGAGACCAGTGACCCCAAGGCCAAAGGTGACCTGGACCTACGGGTCAGTGTGGCCAAGTGACCAGGACCCCTCGGCGGCCCCTGGGCAGAGCTCCTGCGAGGTGATGCCAGAAAGGCCGGTTCTCACCTCGCCTCCTGCTCCACTGAGATGACACATCCGCCCGTGGTCACAGCGTAAACCCCGATGCTGTCGGAGAGAACGCTTTCCTGTCTTTAAAAAAATATATACGTTTTTATTGATTTCAGAGATGAAGGGAGAGGGAGAGGGAGAGGAGAGAAGCATCTATGATGAGAGAGAAGCATGGATCATCGGCTGCCTCCTGCACGCCCCCCACTGGGGATGGAGCCCACACCCCGGGCCTGTGCCCTGACCGGGAATGGAACCCTGATCTCAACCACTGAGCCACGCCGGCCGGGCTGTCTCTCATGTTTCTATATTTCTTCCGAAATAAGTTGTACTCTTCTTGCTCTGTTTGTTGTTGTTGTTGTTGTTTTTTGCACATGGACTTCATTTTACTCCAGCGCTGAAAAATGTAGCTATTTTGGGTCTGTGCCCACATTTTATTTGCAAACCCAGACGGTCCTTATGGGCACTGTCCCTACTACATAACACCTTCCACTCCACACGGTGAAGGCTGAGGGGAACTTTGCAAGATTTTAATTTAAACTAAAGGATGGACCTTTTGTTCCTGAAAACAGAGGCTATAATTCAGACCCACGGCCTCCGCAGAGCTGGGAAGAGCTGCGCGTTTATGGACAGCAGTGGGGTCGGGGGGGAGGGGGTGAGGGGAGCAGCAGTGGGGACCGAGGGGGAGGGGGGCAGCATAGCAGTGGGGTCACGGGGGGAGGGGGGCAGCCGGTGGGTCGCCTGTGCAGACGATGTCCTCAGACGAGGCAAGCAGGCTTCCTCCGTCCTCTGCTCCCGGCTGCGCTGGTGACCGCATGCCCGTGCCCACCCGCAGGCGTCCTCCCCGCGTGCCCGGCCCCCGCCTTTCCCGGGGCCTCTCAGCATCGGTTCTGGTTCCAGAAGGTGAGGCGCCTGCTCTCCCCGCACCTGCCCCATCCCCACAGCCGCCGTCTGGGGGCGTCTGGGTGAGAAGGTCGGCGTGGGGAGCACATGTCACCCACCGTCTGGCTCCGAGGATCCTGGATTCTGCAGAAATGCCGGCCCTGAGGCAGCAGAACCGGACGAAGGTGCAGGGCCGCTGGTCGCCCGGTTCCCGGGCCTTCGTGACGCAGGAGCCAGAGGCGGCGGGCGCTGTGCCTGCGTCTGTCACACCGCGGGCCCCTGTCCTGTTTCACTCGCTTTTCATTAAACGGTTGTTACAGGGTCTCCCCCTCCCCCCACCCTGTCCTCCTCCACCCGCCCGAGTAGAGAATGTTCGTGACATTATTCCAGCGAAACCGTCTCGAGTCTGGTGTTGGGCTCCCTTTCAGCGGATTTGAAGGGCACAGAGCAGATGGATCCGGCATCTGTGAAGCCCACTGCGTCCCTCTCCCTCCTCACAGCAGGAAATGAGAGAGCGTTTCATGCCGGCCGGTGTGGCCCAGTGGTTAAGCGCCCACCTAGGAGCCAGGAGGTCACGGTTCTGGGTCGGGCACAGGCCTGGGTGCGGGCTCCGTCCCCGTCGGGGGCGTGCAGGAGGCAGCCGATCCATGCTTCTCTCTCACATGGTTGTTTCTCTCTCTCCCTCTCCCTTCCTTTCTCTCTAAAATCAATAAAAACATATTTTAAAATAAGAAAGAAGACTTCTAGCTCCCAGGCAGTTTCCCGAAATCCCGGTTCCTTCCGGGAACAAGAAACAAACTCCCTTTATCGAGCGAGGCAGCCGGTTCTCTTCTCGGCAGCTCGTTAAAGGGGAGCTGGGAAGGGCCCCCCGTTTCCTCCAAAGGTCAGACTTCCCGGAGGGTGAGCACAGACGGTCACAGAGCGAAACCCCTCCCAGCAAACGGCCCCTAAAGAAAGGCAGGGAGGCCACCGTCTAGCCCAGTGAGGGCGAACCTTCTGAGCTCGGCGTGTCAGCATTTTGAAAAACCCTAACTTAACTCTGGTGCCGTGTCACATATAGAAATTTTTTGATCTTTGCAACCATAGTAAAACAAAGACTTATGTTTCTGATATTTATTTTACATATTTAAATGCCATTTAACAAAGAAAAATCAACCAAAAAAATGAGTTCGAGTGTCACCTCTGACACGCGTGTCATAGGTTCGCCATCACTGCTCTAGCCCAGAGGTCAGGCTGACAGGCTTCGCTTCTTTCTCTGCCCCGATACACATGTAATTATGCTCTCATTCCACTTGCCACAAAGCTGCCGAATGAAGCGACAGTGATCCCGTGATTTATAAAAGCAAATTGCATGCAAATCCAGCCTCGCACAGCGATGAGCGGGTAGGAGTGAGTCAGAGCGATTCTTAAACGGACCAGCGTAACCTCAAGGGCAGTCACACCGCTGGCTTCGCAGATCAGAAACGGTTTCCAGAACAAAACACAACCTTTAGGAAACAGCCCGGCCGGCGTGGCTCGGAGGTTGAGCGTCGACCTAGGAACCAGGAGGTCACAGTTTGATTCCCGGTCAGGACACAGGCCCGGGTTGTGGGCTTGATCCCCAGTGGGGGGCGTGCAGGAGGCAGCCAATCCATGATTCTCTCATCAGTGATATTTTTCTCTCTCTTCCTTCCTCTCTCTGAATCAATTAAAAAAAAAACACCCAAAACATGATTTAGGAAACAGAAGCAAATCAAGACAGAGCACGTTTTAGAAATAACAACCCACCGGGTGGGAAGCCAGGACCGAGAGCTGGCTTTGTGGGTGCCTGTCAGGGGAGCCTGGTGTGACGGTTCCGAGGTGGCGTTGATGGGAGCTCAGCCTCTGAGCTGGACCTGCCGTGGCTGCCGGTGGGGGTGGGTCACCCTTTTTGATCACCATGGAGACGTGTGGGTCGTGGTAACCTCTCGGGACCTCGGGACGTGCTGACGTGAACCCAGAGCGAACGGGGTCGGGCCTGCAGGACCCCGCGAGGATGGGAGGAGAGAGTGAGTGTGCAGAGACCTGGGGATGCAAGGCACGCAGTGGGCGCCAGTCAGCTGTCACTCTTCTTCTAATCGTCTGAAGGCCTCATGTGGGGACTTCTAGTCACCCCTCAGACCAAGAAAAACGGTTGCTATGCGTTTCCTCTGATGTTGCAAATACGGACGCACAGGAACCTCCGTCTTCTCCAAAAGTTAATGCAAAGACGAGCAGCTCTGCCGCGTGCAGCGGAGAAACGTGGTCCTGTCGGAGGGAGACCCTAAAGCCGCTCTCATTTAACCCTCATTCCCGGGGCCCGTGTCATGGCTAAGAGTCGGGGCTCATAGGCAGATGTCCCGGGTCGAATCCTGTCTCTGAGGCTCCTGGGAACATCCGTAAACAGCACCCGTCCTTGAAATTCGTTTCCCCGTGGTCCAAGGGGTTTAACATATGGTCGCCGGCAAGGCTGCCTCAGGGTTCCTGGACTCAGGACAAAGATGCACACTGGGGCCTATTCCACATTAGATCATCGGAAGCTAAAACAAATTACTGTGAATGCTCAGCAGATGTGGAAAAAAATCTTCTGATGGCCTCTTACTGGCTACATATAAAATAACTTCTTGTTGGTACTCTTTGTGGAGGCCAGGGTGCTTTGATGTTTGTGTTGTTGGGTTATAAAAATAAAGATGTGGGGAAATGTTATGAGGAACCAACAA